ACGGCGTTAATTATAGCCATTTTATAGAGCAGATACGGGAATAGAAAAAGCGCAACATCCCAAACGTGGTTTTCACTCTAACAGCAAAAAGAAAGATACTTTTCAGAGAGTTCCACATGTTGCTGCTTGTGGTGCTTGTGTTTGTGTCAGTAAAAGAGATAGAGCGATTTAGAGAGATCTAGTGAGATGTTGATGTTTGGCTAAAATTCTATGTTTTTGTATGTCATTTACCTTGCATTATGTCTTGATTTTGTTAATTTTTGTGTGAATAATTGTGACTCGAGCTTAATAATGGTATTTTTATGTGTAGGACTCAATTGAAGTAATTTGGGGAGTTTACATGCAAATTGGCATAAAAAAGGGAAGAATTTGGAGTAAGTATAAGTTTGGTGCCCAGGTTGGTGTCAGGTACCAACCAAAACGCCAAAGACAGAAGACCAAAAAGTTTGCTGTCCTGGTTGGCGCCAGGCGCCAAGCGAAACGCCAAAAGGCGGATTTTGTTCAAATTCGGCTGGGACTTAAAGATTTCAATCCTAAATGTTCCCAACATGTATAAAAGGGGTTCTAAGCCTATTTTTGAGGGGGGAGGGGGGGGGGGTGAAATATTTTGGACGAAGGAGAGATCATACTTTGGAGCAAGGGAGAGCACAGATCCGTCGTGGAGGCCGGAATTCATCAGATTCCATCTTTCTTCCATCAAACTAGTAATATTTACGCTCCTTTGGATGAATTGTTGTTTTGCTACCATGTCTATGTGGAGCTAAACTTCGTCTCTAGGGTTGTGGTTGTCATGAATATTGAATTTTATTAAGTACTTCACCGGTAACTCGAGTTATCATTGTTGGTTGTTTTTCTAATTCGGTGCATAATTGCTTAATTGTTTGGCCAGCAATTGAATTTTATTTACTATCTATGCAATGCTTGGGAAAATCATGTTTAGATTAGAGTAGAATTAGAGAAAGCTTGTTTCTGAAACCGTGACTCGGGGAAAGATTCCGCGGTTAGGATAGGAATATATCTAATAGTCTTGCTTAGTTGAATACCGTATTATATTCGTTCATGATAGATTCAATACCAAGGAATATAGGATTGATATATTGTGGATAGACGAATAGTATTGTGGAAACATGCTATTTATATAAACGTCCCGGTCAACTAGCAACCATAGATAATTCGTATTAATAGGTGTAATTACGAACTCGATAGGATTGATATACCGACCACAACTCTGGAATCTATATCTCCCTTGGTTACGTGTTTAAATTTCGCAATAGTAATTTAGTAGAAAAATATTATTTTTGATTATCTTGAATAGTAAACTGATTTTAGTTTGCTTAGTTAACGATTAATATAAGTCTTTGTGAGTTCGACATCCGACTTTCGAGTCACTTTATTACTTGACGGCCACATATGCTAGCGTGTACCTGGGGAACCAACATATGCCATGGGATGATCAAGTGAGACCAGATGCATTAATCATTATACTTTGCGATGAAGCAACGTTTCTCTCCATTGCTAACCTCCACCTTCTTTAATCTTCTCGTGTAAAAGTTCTATCTACACGTCATGTGAAAGTTTCCAATAGTCAAATGCGCCTTATTTAAGTAGTAATATGTTTTACTACAATTTAAATATTAAATAATTAAGATTGTTTATTTTCTCAATATCTAAATAAATAAAATTTAATTATTGAAATTAATAAAATATAAAATTTAAATAAAATATTAATTAATCTTAATATGGTGGCTGATAGTAATATTGGTTAACGATGATCTTGATGGGTGTTGATTGATGCTGGTAGTGGTTGTGGGAGCAGCTTTTGGTCCTTTAAATTTGTCAAAAGCGAGCACTTTTGATCTCCGTCAACTATTTAATAAGTTTTGGTTGTTAGATCTTATGAAAACTGTAATAAAATTTTTTTAACAGAAACTCAGATTTGAAGATGTAGGGTGTGTGTGGTATAAAGGAAAATGTTTTTCATGGAAAATGTTTTTCAAGAAAATATTTTCTTGGAAAACAAGTAGTAATCTTATTCATTTTCTGGTGTTTGGTACGCCAAATCAAGGAAAATATTTTCTCAAGAGTATTCATAAATAATTTTGATACAATAAAGATGAAGCCATAAACTTTCGAACCAACAACCTTCCGAACCCACAAATTTCATAAACTTCTGAACCGCAAAATTTTCGAAACCGCGAAATTTCGAACGCGTAAACTTCGAAACACATAAACCTCCGAACTCGTAACTTTTGAACTTGTAAATCGAAAGACGAAAAAAGTAAAACTGAAAATTTATAAAAAAATATTTTGTAAATTTTTTTTTGCGGGGTGGGGTGGGGGTTATAAAATTTCAAGACCCCAATGGATCNTTAAAGAATTAGAAGGCCTAGTATACTGCGATGTGTGATTTGATCGAAATTCTGATTTTACAGACTCGGAAGGAGAAACTGTCATCCCAGCCAATCCAATTGGGATGCCCTGGACCTGACATGTCACTTGGAAAGAGTAACATGAAGCTCAGAATTGGGGTGTAGTCAATACTCCCAAATAAAAAGGGAATTGATCCATGGTCGATTTCGTAACAAATCAAATAAAGAGGAATTTCTATTTGTACCTCGTAAAAAAAGCTTTTTATTTTGTGGAATGAACCATTTCCTTTCTTTTCGTGGAAAGAAATTATGTTCAAGTAAGCAAATATGTCATGGTTCTAGGAGTCTATCTATCGCGTATAGACTTTAAGGGCGTGGTGGCCTAACCATCGAGGTGAAGTCGGGACCTAAAAGATCGAATGGAACAATATATAGACAAGTAAATCCCTTATGGGTTCCAAGGTATTCCTTTAATTATTAAGAGTTAAGGGATTTATCATTCAAAGGGAAGTAGACTACTCAAGAATTTTCTATTTTATTTGTTGGAATTGAATTTGAATAAAGAATTAATAGAAGACGGAATCACTGAAATCTTGTTTCGTCTTCACTGGGAACTTGAGTAAGGAGTAGACCTTTTTATTTTGGGATTTTCTAGAGTTTGAAAACGAGAACTCCTTTCCTTATTTGGTGTACCTACTTGAGCCGGATGAAAGGAAACTTTCACGTCCGATTTTGAAGGGGGGGAGATCCTATAGAATCCTATCCCAATTTTTCTTTTGCTAGGCCCATAACTAAAAAGCCCACTTTCTTACGATTACGAGGTTTATTCGAATATGAAATCCAATCTTGGAAATACAGCATCCCACTTTTTTTTACTACCCAGGGTTTCGATACATTTCGCAATCGAGAAATCTCTACTGGCGCAGGTGCTATCCGAGAACAATTAGCCGATCTAGATTTACGAATTATTATAGAGAATTCGTTGGTAGAATGGGAAGAATTGGGGGAAGAAGGGCACACAGGGAATGAATGGGAAGATCGAAAAGTTGGAAGAAGAAAGGACTTTTTGGTTAGACGCGTGGAATTGGCTAAGCATTTTATTCGAACAAATATAGAGCCAGAAATGGATGGTTTGTGTCTATTACCAGTTCTTCCTCCTGAGTTGAGACCGATCATTCAGATAGATGGGGGTAAACTAATGAGCTCAGATATTAATGAACTCTATAGAAGAGTTATCTATCGGAACAATACCCTTACCGATCTATTAACAACAAGTAGATCTACGCCAGGAGAATTAGTAATGTGTCAGGAGAAATTAGTACAAGAAGCCGTGGATACACTTCTTGATAATGGAATCCGGGGACAACCAGATCTGATAGTTTTAGGCCAGATCTGATAGTTTTTGGACTGATATGCCAAATTTTATTGTTGTTCCTTAACCTTTTTTTTGTCAATTTATACAATATTGTACGCATATATATATATACTTATACATATTTATACAATATTGTATAAGTTTGTATAAACACTACCTATACAAGTTTACACCAGAAAACACCTTCTGTCCATCACCACATTACAGTTTTCGGTGGTTGCTGGTGTTGAATTTTTCCGGCGAGGTTTTGGCATTCAAATCTAGGCTTCACCGGTAGCAAATGATGAAACAAAAAAATAAGAGAAATAAGAAAATATGAGACGAGGTCGCCGGAGATGCTCTTTTAGGCAAGATCTGATAGTTTTTGGACTGATATGCAAATTTTATTGTTGTTCCTTAACCTTTTTTTTGTCAATTAACTCAAAAATCGAAATCTAATTGACATAAAATGGGAGGATTATCACGAGTGTGTACAAAAAAATTCTGTAATTTTTAGGGAGAAGGAAGAGAGAGGCGAGTGAAGAGAGATTGAGTATGCTGGGAAAGAAGAAAGAAGAAAAGAAAAAAACCCTAGAAGTATGTCTTTAATAATGGGCTAAAGACTGAAAAGTTTCTTTCAAGATATATACAACCTGGGTCAAACCGGGTAAAGACTTCAAACATGGGCCATTTTTAGTTGGGTTGCTGCGCCAAGTAATTAAAAGCGTAATTCTTTCTTAAATCTACCAATTTATATGAAGACAAAAGTTTTTAAAGGACCAAGACCGCTTAAAAATAATTTTGAAGTGCTATCTTAAACTTACCACTAAACATGAGGTTCCATTTATGTAATTTATAGCGTGTTTGGCCAAGCTTCTTTTTGGCCAAAAATGCTTTTTTTTGCCCAAAAGCACTTTTGGCCAAAAATTGAGGTGTTTGGCGAATCTTTTGGAAAGAAAAAAAGTGCTTTTGAGGATAAGCAGAAGCAGATTTGGAAAAGCAGAAAAAAGTAGCTTCCCTCCAAAAGTACTTTTTTGAGAAGCACTTTTGAGAAAAATACAGTTAGAAGCAATTTTTTAAAGTTTGGCCAAACACTAATTGCTGCTCAGAAGTGCTTTTCAAACTAATTAGCCAAACACAAAATGCTTCTCACCAAAAGTACTTTTGAAAAAAAAGCACTTCTCAAAATAAGCTGATTTTTGCAGGTTGACCAAACGGGCTATTAGTCTCTTATTTTACCCCGAAACCGAGAACCCATGGAGCTTGGTCCGGTCCGAAATCGGGCCATAATGTCGAATTTGGTATCTAAAACCTCACAAAACCCTCGTCTTCAACTTGCAGCCTTACCTATAGCAAAGTGTTGAGTCTTGGAGCTACAGGCAACTGTTAATATCAGCTAGTGAAACAATACTCTTACAAAAATGGTGAGCAAGAGGCAGAAATTAGCTCGAAAGAGATACAAGGAAGAACATCCAGAATTATTCCCCAAGCCAGAACCAACTCCACCCAAAGACCCAAACAAGAAAAAGAAGAAGAAGAGCAACTTCAAGAAGAGAAAAGGAGAAGGCAATGATCCTAATAAGAAACGTTTATTACATAAAAAGCACCCCTTTAGAGTCGCTGGAATGAAGCCTGGCGAAAGCTGTTTTATTTGTAAAGAACACGACCACATTGCCAAGGATTGCCCTAGGAAATCTGAATGGGAAAAGAATAAGGTATGCTTTTTATCCCTGGGCTGAATTTTTAGTTTCTTTATTTTTCTGTCTATCTGTGTTGTAGTCTCTTTGAGCTTAATATTCCATAATTTGCTCCTAAGTGCATTTTTACTCGCCGAAAAAGAAAATAGACACTCCATATCATTTGCAAGATATTATTCATTCTTTACAACTCCGTGCCCAATCCCAGTCTCCACATCCAATGATTCCACCAACTTTTATGCCCAAATGAGACATTAACAAATGACTTAGGAAATGATTTTCTTAGGTAAAACGTTTTAACCGAAGTACATTTTCTGCCAAAAACATTCAAGTCATACCAGAGATGGCCAAATTGGATTGAAGCTATTTAGTCTTTTAATTTTATGTTCACTGCACAATGTTATACTCGATGATGTTTTGCTACATTAGAAGCATATTATTGCTCTCCTACTGATTGATGCTTCTTTGTTTGATATGCGTTTATGAAGATATGTTTGCTTTGTCGTCGACGCGGTCACAGCCTGAAGAATTGCCCCAACAAAGATGATGAAAAGGTGGATAAAAAGTTATGTTACAATTGTGGGGAAACCAGTCATTCATTGGCTAACTGCCCCTATCCACTTCAAGATGGTATTTTGCCTTTGACCTTATCAAATAATCAAATATATCTTTTCTTTATTTGGACAATGTATGTTCTGTTACTCTCTTCTTTTTTTTATTTCTTTTTTTTTGGGGGTGGGGTGGGGTGAGGGGTGGGGGTGGGGGGGGGGTATGCATAGCATTTTTTCAGGTTTCCAGCTTTTTCTTGCCCTTCTCATTTTATTTCATTAGTGGCCCTTTATTTTCCATGTACTCTATGTAAATGCAAAGTATGGAAGTATGTAAGCCTCAAATAGTTTACTGCTAAGTACTAAATAAGACGCTTAATTCATGGATAGTTGGTGACTGCTATATTGCTCTCTTGACCAGTGGTACTCCATGTAATATGTATCCTTACTTTCAAAGTCAGGAGCTGCCACAAATTGGGTTAATGCCGAGTTACAGAATATTTTCATTCAGAATTTCTCTGGCAGAGACAGAAAAACAAAATGTATACAAGCAATGAGTATAAGAGCTACACAAAAAAGGATTCACAAAATTCTTGCTATATGTCTGCTATTCAAAAATGGAGTTGCCCTTGCATTACAAGGGTCCATCAAACGACTAACAATAATCTCACTTCTTTTAGAAAGTTTCTTCTTGTTTCTCTTTGATGCAAATATTAGTTATATCATGTTGTTTTCTTAATTATGCAGGGGGAACAAAGTTTGCTAGTTGCTTTATTTGTAAAGAACAAGGTCACTTGAGTAAGAATTGCCCTAAAAGTACTCATGGTATATACCCAAAGGTACATATATTTGATTGTCTTCGGACACCATTTTCAATCACTTCACAGCTACCTTCTGATGCTGGTTCAATTTCTTCGTGTTTATTTTTAGCTTAAAATAAGCTCATTTCTGAGAACGAAACTTAAAAAAACTTTAATTTTACAGGAGTTTAGAAGTTCATGTTTTTGATGTCTTTTTTTGCAGGGTGGTTGTTGCAAAATTTGTGGCGGTGTTACACATTTGGCAAAAGATTGTCCTAATAAAACTGGCAAAGCTTCTGATGGGGCCTTTGGTAGAGTTAAAGCTTGTATGTCCTTTCGTGTATTATTCCATCGATTTGTTTCCGAGACATCTAGTTTGCCTTCGCATTTGGGAAAAAAAAAAGATTTCTACTACCTGCAACTTTTGTATGCTATCATTTTACATATAACATACCATACTATCATTATACCTTTTTATAAAGATTGACTTCTTAACTTATATGCTATCATTATACATATTCAAACTCTCTAACTTCTTTGTTATTTAGCTTGCCCATGTCCTATATACATAATCATTTTACCCTCAACTGCTGCAGATTTAGCAAGGCTGCATATGAACTTGATGAACTGAACCACTCACTCTCTTCTACTTTTTTTTTTTCTGCGCATGATCTAGTCTTGCTAGTTTAGTCTTGATGGTGTAATGACAAGTCTGACAACTTTGTCAGAAATTTTCTTGCTTTCTGTGTCTCAGTGAAACAGTTGTGGCCACGGCACAGCCAAGCCAACTTCTTTTGGAGAAGAAGATAATTAATCAAGCTACAGTTTTGTCTGTTTTTCATGTTTGTTCCAAATAATTGAATGCCTAATAAGTCATATCACTGTCAATCTAGTTCCGTTATAATATAAAGACCACACATCCTATTTCATGAACTCCAATAATTCCATGTTCATGAATTTTGTGTCAAATGTGGCAGTGAAGCAGCGCATTTAATTGGCTTGCATGGGTGATTGTTTTAGAAGAGATGTGCATGACATAAGTGCTGACATGCGAATAACTTTTGTGGATGTTTGTTTCCTCCTTAATTGATTCCAAAACATGCTGTCATAGATTTTTTTTTCCTTTTTACTATATGCTATTAGTTTGGTGGCAGCAGATGCTGCTTGTTAGAGTTGGTTTGGTTTTAATTCTTACACTTTTCCACCTTTTCTTGTGCGACTTTTTATTTCTGGCAGTTCAATTTGAGGATCGGCCAAGGGGACAAGTTACCAAACTTAGCAGTGGGGATGATCTGGAAGATGACTTCATGGCAGAGGAAGTTCATGAAGACGGTGATGCTAAATTAAAGAAGAAAAAAGAACCTAAAGTTGTTAATTTTGTAGGATGAGTGAATCTCCGGAAGTGGTGATTCTGGAAACTGAAAGTGCAATTTATCGAATAGATATTGGTTTCTTGAAAGTGCTCCATATGTCTTGTTCGACAACTGCAACCCATTTTAAATTTTTACATTTGCAGTATTCTTTTCTCCTCTTGTTAATGAGGATCTTGGACATAAAATACGTCAGAAAATGAAAAAATGACAAATTGTTTGAGAGTTGCTGCTGGGAACAGTAGTGCCTAACAGAGTCCTGTTCTTAGTAATTGCATTCTCCCATTTCTACTTCTATTGACCTGTTCCTTTCTCACAAATAAATGTATGCTAATTTTGTACTGTGTATTATGTTGTGAGAATCATCTTATGTCAAGAATTTCTGATAGTAGAGTTCGCGCTTATCATTTAACGTTTCGGTGATTTGGGGGGTTGAGGGTGGGGGGGTGGGTGAATCTCTTAGGATCACTGCAATTCAAATGACAATTGTGCCAGCCCTATCAAATGTTGTGGATTTTCCATCTGAAGGTACATTTCTTTAAGTCACAACTGAACTTTTATGCTAATGATAGGTAAATGTAAAAAAATGGAAAGGCACTTCTGTTCATCATTGTCAATAAGGCCTTGTTAAAGCGGCAAGATTGAGATGTCTACAGTATTTACTTATTCCCCTATGTAGGTAATTTATAATTCTCTTATAATAATGTCAGACTTGAAATTTCGTTTGGATCGTAATCTTTTCTCATATTTGTATATGTATTTTTCTTTCCACAAAAATGAATATATCTTGTCTTAGTTATCACTTGAAATATTTATCCTGATATTGATATATGGTCGTTTTTTTTTTGTTCAACTTGTCTTTGGAATTTGTCTGTCAAAAATAAATTTTCCTATAAGGACAACATGAAAGAGACTATTTTAATTTTGAAAACGCAAATCTAAATCCAAAGGGTACGTTTATGGGGGGAAAAAAAATAGTCAATATGAAAGGGCAAACTGTCTTAAATGTAAGAATGCTGAAATTGGATGAATAACGGCCATCGTGCCAACTGCAACAGGAATGACAAAGGTAACTAAATGAGCCTCAGAAAACCTTAGATGACTCTCAACCCCTTATGTTGTCTTGTCCCTCTTTATTCTCCGCAATTCTCTCATGTTTTATAAACCAGGTCGTGTTTCCTCTCTTACGGATTCAAGGATCTCTATCCCCATTCCATTCAACTCTATTCTCTACCATTTTCTCCTTTATCCCCCCCACCCCCCACCCCCACCCCTTTTCTTTTTTTCCTATCCATTTTGCAGAGATCCTTACCTATCTCATTCCAGGACACCATGGTATAGTATCTGTGTTTCATTTCCTTTTCTCAGATCATTATATGATTCATCATTTTCTGTATTATTCTTGTTTCATTATAACAAATTTGGAGATTAGAGGTTGCCTTTTGTTTGTCCTGGAAACTTCATCTTGGTTGGCAGTTTTCAGGATTTCAAGTCAATGGATATGTGTAGAGGCAGATACAAGATTTAAGTTTTACGGGTTCAACTTTTAAAGTTTTCAGCTTTGAACCCGTTATATTTATAAAGTTACGAGTTCATATCTACTATTTGTTGCAATTTTAGTGAATTTTACAGATAAGTTTATGTTTCACGTACTCGGTTTCAGATGAACCCGGTACCAAAGGGCTGGATACGTGCACCCACTACTCATTTGTGACAATATATAGTTGCAGACTTGAACTAGAAAAGTTTCAACTCTATGTGTGCATGTATGTGTGTGTGTGTTTGTATAATTTAAACCTAATGCTGCATTTACGGAGAAAAGATGGATCTCCTCATGACTATCAATAGTTATGTGTAAAATTTATTGTCTGTCAAACTGATTTTCTTTTAGATTTATACCCGCGTGGTTGTTTTTTGTCTTGTTCATGACTTGACAAATATATGGGCAGGCGAATGCTGTTTCTGGAATGGCAGTACAAGATGAATGTAAGCTAAAATTCTTGGAATTAAAAGCAAAGAGAAACTACAGGTTCATTATTTTCAAGATTGATGGCCAGGAAGTGGTGGTAGAGAAGCTTGGCAGCCCTGAAGAAAGCTATGAAGATTTCTCTAACTCTCTGCCTGCAGATGAATGTCGCTATGCTGTCTTTGATTTAGACTTCATAACTAATGAAAATTGCCAGAAAAGCAAGATTTTCTTCATTGCTTGGTATCCTTTTCCTCCTTTTTTTTTTACCCTGTTGTCTTCATTCCTCAAGCAATCTCAACTTTGGTAATTACTAGTTGAATTTAAGTTATATATATTGACTGACAGATTATAGAATGATTACATCGTCATTGCAATTTAACAGCTAATACCTACAATGGTGGAACCAGGACTTCGTGCAAGGGGGTTCAAAAAAGAAAAAGTTAAAAATAGAAAAAAGATTGTGGCAATTGGGAATTGGACTAGCAATCTCACAAAGTTTTTGAACCCCCTTGACCACTGAGCTATGCTTTTGGGCTCTATCGATGCATGAAACTTAACTCCTCCTAGTTTACTCAGGGATGAACCTACATTGTCCCTTCGTCGAAAAATTACATTGTGTATATAAGTAAAATATTAGGTTTTAGAGGTATATAACATATACTGAACACCTTTTTGTCGCGAAAACCTTTTTCACTTTTATCAAGTTTGAACACTGTTGGGGAAATTCCTGACTTTGCCACTAAGTTTACTTGCAGCTAAGGCTTGGGTTTAGATAGATAGCATCGGATAGCGTCGCTCTAATAACTTTATCATGAATTATAGGTCACCTGAAACATCAAGGGTGAGGATGAAGATGGTGTACGCGAGCTCAAAGGATAGATTCAAGAGAGAACTGGACGGAATTCAAGTTGAGTTGCAAGCAACAGATCCTAGTGAAATGAGCTTTGACATTGTAAAAGCACGAGCCTATTGAGTCTCATGACCTTAACATTTCCAGCCTTAATCCACCAGCATCTTTGCTTGTGTTCATATTATACACTGATCTGTGTATCTGTTGATGTAATATTATGTGCCTTACTCTGTAGTCTGAATGCTGCAACAACATAACAGCATTCCGTTTCAGTTCCATCTTCCTTTGCCTTAACATAGACAAAAATCATATATCAATTGGTGGCTTTTTTCTTATTGTTGCTTTTAAATAAAACATCTCATTGTGCTCTTTTTGCGTGTCAACTTTACTGATGCCAACTTAATTGATAACTTGTTTAAGATTAACAGACAGCATTTTGCAAAAAGAACTTTAGACCAAATTCCATCTGATTATATACCAAAATACGTTTTAGTTTGGCTAATTCCATTGCATTTTCTTTTTACCAACACCATTTACCAGCAGGTCTATAGGCAGCTTTACAATTTCATGCCCCTCTTTTGCTTAAAAAAATGATTAGGGATTTTAAGAAATTAAAGACTGTTAATAAAACTAAAACTCACATATGCATATGATGAAATGTAAGAAGTTAAGAACACTTACACTCTAACAACTGGGATCTTTGCTTCTCAACAGTAATTCACATACAGGATACAATTAGTTAAATCTTTAAAGAAATAACGCTCGAGCATTACCTGCTCACACAAAAGTTTTTGCAGAACCCTATATGCAACTGAATTTTAATATTTCTCCTCTTCAAAGACTTCTTCCCCATACTAACCTTCTAATTGGAAAACCTTGACGAGTTTAAGTTCTATATATTAACGGTTTCACAGTCAGGTCTAATTGCAAGTAACTCTATTCAGTAGCAGATTATCTGCCATAAATGTTAAATTGCATTGATGGTGTAAAATATTATTACATTGTCAATATATATAGTTTAAGTCCTAGCCAGATATGGTTGTGTTCCCAATGAACGTTGCCACAGAACTGCAAATAAATATATTAATCATACTATTTTATAAGCGGGAACATCTCAAGTGAAAAGTTAAAATACCCAAATATCCTTATAAAGCTGAATGACACTATTGCCCGCCCTTGTATTTAACAATATTGTAAATATTTTTGGACAAGAATGTAAACACAAAATTATAATAAATAATATCTTAATATCTATGATAATAGGTGAATTAGACTATAATTAGACCCTACAGAACCACATTTTTGTATAGCTTTGTTGTAAAAAGTGATAACCAAATGCTCTGATTAGTGTTTTTCATGCTTTACAGGCTATATCCAACGAAAGAAGTCGATGGAGCAAGTTTGGGATCAATTACGGAGAAAAGGAGGCCAATCAAACAATGTCCAAGAAATGCACCAAGTGAAAAGTCAAAGGAAGGCAGAAGTTGGCCTGCCGCGGTCAGACCGTAACCGCGGGAGGACCGCGGCAGAGTAGAGATGAAAATTCAGAGACCCCTTTTGGCCGCGGTCCCGGCGTAACTGCGGTGGGACCGCGGCAGAACGCGAACTAGCCAGGGGCAGGATTGTCAAGTCGGGAAAAATTGGTGTAAAACCCTTATAAAAAGTAGGATTTCGGCTACATTAGGTCAGATTTTGTTTAGAGAGTTCTTGGGCAAGAAACACAAGTGTGAGAGTTCATCCAAAAACATCATAGTTCTTTATTTCATCTTTTTCTTGCAATTTTCCATGATGAATATTATCGTAGATTATCTTTACGTTGTTATGAGTAGCTAAATACTCTAGTCTAAGGTTTTGATGGAACCTATTGAAGGATGAACTTCTTGATTATGTTCATATAGTTTGCTAGTTAATCTCTATTTGTTCAACTACGTATTTGTTGTAGTTAATTGACAGGATCCTCAATTAGCTGTGCCTATTTAGTGTGCATAACTCGGGAGAGAGTGCATATTTAGGTAATTGTTGAACAACACCACTCCCAAAGTATAAGAGGGATCTATAACTGCGGGTTTAAAGGCGGGACTAGGGATAACGAAGCCTTGGGTGCAATCTAAAGTGAGCTGTAATAAACAAAGTCAGCTAGCGTATCTCGGGAGAGTGCGTCTAGTAAATTATCGTGATTACTCGGGAGAGATTTACGGTAAAAAGAGTGCTCATGATTGATAGAGATATTTTGGTGAATCTATCTGAAACATAACCGGAAGGGATTCCATCAATAGGGGAAATCACTACCTTAGAACCTTCTCATTATTATTTACAACCCAGCATATTTAGTTTACAGTTGTTTATTTATTTACTTGCAATCTTAGTTAGTAGAAATACCATCAACTATTGTTTACAACGTTTGAGGAAGTTGATTATAAAGAATTTAGTGATTTCAACAAAGGTAATTGATAGGTTAATTCTCTGTGGGATTCGACTCCGGACTTATAAACCGGATTATATTTGCAACGACCGCATTGTTCTTTTTATAAAGGCATAGTTGGGCATGATAACATAATTTAAATGTTAACAGAATCTATTACCTCATATTTGTGTATCTAAAGACTATTCGTTTTTCTAAAGGTAACCTTTTGCAGTTCCAAATTCTAAGTTTGGCTTTTCAAATTTCTGAAAGATTTTAGATATCTTATAGTACATCAATTTTAATAAGGAGGTATATATTTAACAAATTACAAATATTTTTTAAAGACAACATATAAAATTACCGTAGATTCAAAGATATTGTCGAAACATTAGAATAACTTTTTTCCCTTTAAAATTCAAATAGTTATCCTACATTAAAAAACAAAAATATAATTTCAAATGTTTGATGTTCGATTTCAAGAATTAACTTGGAGTGGTAGGAAATTTTTTAGTTCCTTCAACATTAATTGTACGTTTAATATGGTAATTAGTAGTTTCGCCTCTATTACAAGAATGAAGAATCTAAGTGACTTTATAATCTCCTTTCATGAGAGTTCATTCGTTTCCATGAGTTTTGAACGGTATTCAAGAGCCATGATTCGTTTCCTGAAGGCAACATTAGGAGCTTAACAAAAGGTAATGAAATCTCTTTGGCTATAGAATGTAGCTTTTGGTTCTTGTACATTTTGGAAACATGATGATGAAAAAATATAATTCAATGCTTATGTTTGATGTTTGTTGGACTTCCAATGGGTTATTTTCTTTGGATAAAATCATCAAAATATTCATGTGATGAGATCCATGTATTCAATTTGTGTAATAGCAAAGTTAATTTTTCTGTCTTTTGTCTGAGCTATTTTTCCCCCCTCTTCTCCTAACCGCTTTTAGCTTATAGCTTTTGTTTGTTTTTTCATTAGATAGCAACATTTGATGTATTGTTGTTTCACATAATATCTTCGTCATTTGCTCTTTGTTTACCCTAGAATCCGGATAACAATTGAATTTATATGAGGTTTTAAGGATCCGTGAACTAAAAGATACAAAAGGTTTAGGTTGAGGAAAATAAAGATAAAGACTCAACAATTGCTGTTAAAGTAAATAATCGCAGAATATAATATTGCTTAGAACAATTGTGCTTGATAGCGTACAAGAATTTAGAGAGATGGTACTGTAGTGTAATGGTTTTTTTTCGGTCTCCTCCTTATGGGGTATTCTCCCCTTTTATACATTCCGATTAAGGGTAAAAATAAGGTAGGTAAATTAATTACATCGTGGATCCCTGTAATTACGCCTTAATGGCCTGAAGTGGTTGAGAAAATCACGTTTGGGCGAGATATCCGGCGACGCTTGGTTATCCGTTACGAGTCCGGCTTCCGACCTTGTGTGTTTCTCCATCCGGTGGTGACTCATATCGAGCTCTGCAACGGTCTCGAAATGACTCGACCTCGGTTGTAGACGTGGCCGTCGTTCTACCTTGCATCCAGGTCGGGTTCGATGGCCCCGACTTGCCCCGGACCGGACCCAACCCGGTCGGGCTCAAGCAAAAAAGGGTATCACCCAATACAGATAGTCCCCTCGTTTATTAGAGAATAATGATAATAAACGATATGATCGGTGACGTGATGCCCGTGACGTATGGCCATACGCCAGGTGAAAAAGCCATCGAGTGCTCTGACCACGCCTGCTGCAGGCATTTAATGCTTCTCTTAATTATCTGTCGCTTCGTGTCTGTAACTTCGCGATTCGTGCCACCGCCTCATGGGAAAAGTATAAACGACCCTTCCAGGTTCAACATTTCTTATCTTTCTCAAATTTTGCGTTGGTTGTATTTTCTTTTCATCTCTTCGTAAAGCTCCAAGAAATGGCGAAAACTTCACAAAGTGTTCCTTCTAGACCAAGCTCGGCAGCGAGCCCCGCTAGATCTGATGAACCTGCGCCAGAACCCCCCATTGAAAGCTTTTACACCTACTGGTTGCTTGGTATCTGCCGACTTCCAGGTTGAAAACCCATCATCGGTCCCGGGCCGCGGCGAACCGGCATCGGAGTATATCAG